GCTGTACTAACTGATAGTCACCTTCTCCAGTGGTACAATTCTGTTTGGATCCTGTGGGAGCTGTCACGACTGTCACTGGATTTCCCATGTTGGTTTGCAACATTGCAGGAAGTATGGACAATTCATCAACAATCTGCATTGCGCTGCTGTGATTGTCCAACTCCTCACTCTTGCGCTTCAATCCACATCGCTGGGTGCCTTCTAGGAAATTTAACCTGTTCCGCCACACCCCAGGCTGAGGTGCCTCCACTTGAGCTTGCTGCGCCTGAGCTGCTATGACCTTTGTAGCACCTGCAGTGTTTTTTAAAACAACAGCACTTGTCTGCAACGAAAAGTTGTGTCCTCGAGGTCTATTAAAAGACGGTGTCTTTGTCTGAAAAGCACTGCCCTTCGTGGGAGGATGAGAATTTCCACAGTTTCTACCATTCACATAGGTCCGTGGATAGTTTCTTTCCTGGAATACACAACTGCTTGGCTCTACTTTGAGTTTCTTCACACTACAAAAGGCACTTGACTGAGTTTGATAAACATATGGTGGGTAGACCAAGACTTGTGAGGCCATACCTTTAAAAAAAAAAAAACAAAAAGAAAGAAACAGAAGAAGAAATATTAACAACAATTTTTTTAATCTCGGGAAGAAAATTAAGGGTCAAATCTATAATCCGCTCAAAAATATAAATTCATTAAGATGCTTTTTCAGCAGGAAAAGATAAACATCTTCGATATCTACACTTCAGTTGATTAGTGTTCCAGTTATTTTGAGTATTGCAAAACGGGTTGGGAATAAAGACTCAAGCGAATTACTTATTCAATAAATGTTTATTAAGAAGCTACAATAGCCAAGATATTTCAGAGAAAATGTGCCGCCCATTTTCCCCCAAAAGGAAAACTACACATTCCTAAGCCGTTCACATTTGGCAAAACTAAAATATTCCAACACCAAATTAAAGTTTAGGAACCAATGACATGCAAGCCGGCGCCGCGGCTCACTAGGCTAATCCTCCGCCTAGCGGCGCCGGCACACTGGGTTCTAGTCCCGGTCGAAGCGCCGGATACTGTCCTGGTTGCCCCTCTTCCAGGCCAGCTGTCTGCTGTGGCCAGGGAGTGCAGTGGAGGATGGCCCAAGTGCTTGGGCCCTGCACCCCATGGGAGACCAGGATAAATACCTGGCTCCTGCCATCAGATCAGTGCGGTGCGCCCGGCCGCAGCGTGCCGGCGGCGGCGACCATTGGAGGGTCAACCAATGGCAAAAAGGAAGACCTTTCTCTCTGTCTCTCTCTCTCACTGTCCACTCTGCCTGTCAAAAAAAAGAAAAAGAAAAAAAAAAAAAAAAGGAACCAATGACATGGAAAGAAAACATGGTTTATAGTTATATTCCTTAAACCCGAAGTTCAAGCATTGTCTCAAGGGGAAAAAAAAAAACACCTATGCCTATTTTAAATATATATATATATATATATATACACACACACATAGCGATGTTAAGCAAAATGAGTATGCCCATTTCATGAACAGCTGATCCAATAGTCTACTTACTAAATAAACTATTAATTGACCTTAAAAGGCATTATTACAAATTAATGACTCTACCCAATTACATTCATATTGCCTCTCAAGTTTATTATACGGTTAGATTCCTTTAAATTGCCTACAATCAACTGCCCTTAGTTCATTCAACATTTCAAACTGCAAACCATTTTAAATCATGGTAAGGTTCCCCAAAATAATGACATTCTATGTATTTCACCCCTGCATCCAAAAGACTAAGTTATTGAAAGTAAAATGCCAGACATTCTAATTACACAATCAATATGTGTATAATAAATAATATTTGACTCTGATTTAACTAACATTTTTTACTGCCATATTTCATTTTTTTCCTTATCCCTTTTAGAATTTATAATATGAAATCAATCCAGCAATTTTACATAGCAACTCAAAACACATAACAAAAAATCCTCAGCATCATCTAAATAATGTAAAAATAAGCAGCCAAGCCAGAAACAGGAACTTTCCTTGATGCTCTTTTTATTTAATGCCCTTCTGCACAACCACCCTTGAATGCCTGGTGGACTCCTTTATGTAAAGAACAAAGTAATGCAACACCTTCTTGCTGATGTCCTTCCTAATACACACACACTCACAAATCACCCTCAGGCAGAGCTAAGCAGCTGTGATCTCATAGAAGTACCTGTGCTCTCATTTGCACTCATGATACCACATCACATTGTTACTCTCAGTATATAAAGATGTCTTTCACACTAGATCTGAATCAAAGAACCCAATACATAGAATTGGCATTCAACTACTGTTAGATGGTAGAATTATTTTCAAAATACCTTCATTTTCCATATTTAAAAATATATATTACATTAATAGTATAGTCTCCTATTATTTTAGAAAATGCCAAACATCAATTGTTTAATTTAGGGGCTAGCATTATGGCAGGTTAAGCCACCACCTGAGACACTGGCATCTCATATGGGTGCCGGATCAAGTCCCAGCTGAACCACTTCTGATCCAGCTTCCTGCCTGTAAAAACAGCAGATCACCCACGTGGAGACCCAGAAGAAGCTCCTGGCTCCTGGTTTCAGCCTGGCCCAGCACCAGCCTTTGCAGTAACTAGAGAGTAAACCAGCACGTGGAAGACTTCTTTCTCTGTCTCTCCCTCTCTGTAACTTTCAAATAAATAAATAAATCTTTTAAAATAAAGTCTTCAGTTTAGAATAGTGACCACCACAATACATAAGAGCTACAATGAATATAGTAAGGGTTATTTCTTATTGGGCACTTACCCAAATATTTAACGAAGGTTTTATTTATAATATTTACTCATAGTAATATCCTGTCAATTTTCTGTTCAGTATAGTTCTAAGGAACTAGGTAATACGCTCAAGGTAACATGCTAAGGTGCAGTAATGCCTTCAGATAAAAGGCATTAATTTTTATCTCCTTCAACTTCCTAAAAAGTTTCTTGTGTACCACTGACAATATTTCTAAATGACCCAACATTAAGAATTCAGCTTTGAAATCTTATTGGACAAATTAAGACCTGGTATTCACTGTGTAGAAGACTGTAAATTAAAATCCTTGAGTTCAAAACCTTTTCATCTACATTCTTAAAATGTCATTCACATCTGTTCTACACCATGACACAGAGATGATTTTAAAATTCTAATTTATCGTTGTGTGGAAAAAAAAAAACCGCACTGGATACTCGTACTAAATACATCAAACTCATTGTTTAATGTACTTTTTTATCCCCCCAAATTTAATGTTGCCATGATTCTAATTTCCAAACCACTTGCGTAACACATACCCACAGACTTAAACAGATAAATAATGAAACTCATAAGAAATTTGTTAAAAAACTATTATATATACTCATGGATTTAAAGGAAAGCATGTACATAAACAGGAAAAATATGAAAAGTACAGAAGAACTGTGCATATCTTACACAGATGGTAGAAAAGCAAGTTGGTAATATTTAACAAAACTGCAGATGGTCATAGCCTCTCACCTAGAAATTAAGGCTACTCACAAATAGTGCAAAACTATTAATTGCAGGGGCAGGCCTTGTGGCACAACAAGTTAAGCTGCTGCTTGGTATGCCAACATCCCACATTGGAGTGCCATTCCACCTCTGAGCCAGCTTCCTGCTAATGTATCTTGGGAGGCTGACTCAAGTGCTTGGGCTTCTGTCACTCAGCTGGAAGACCCGTATGGACTTCCAGGATCCTGGTTTCAGCATGGCCCAGCCCTGGCTGTTGTGGGCATTCGGGGAGTAAATAAGCAAATAGAAGGGGTGTATGTGTGTGTCTGTGTGTGTGTGTCTCTCTCACACACACAGATGTGTCTCTCTGTGTGTCTCTCTCTCACACACACAGACACACACACACACACACACACTCCATCACTCTAATAAATCTTTGGTGCTGGCATTGTGGCATAGCAGGTAAAATGGGCAGGGTTTCGTGCACCAGCTGCTCCATTTCTAATTCTTGGGCATCTGCCACCCTCATGAGACCGATGAGAAAAAACTTCTGGTTCCTGACTTCAGCCCGGCCCAGCCCCAGTCACTGGGGCCATCTATGGAGTGAACCAGCTGATAAAAGATCTCTTTCCCTCCCTCTAACTCTGCCTTTCAAATAAACATATAAGTATCTTTAAAAAATAAAATATTTTTAATAGAAACAAAAGAAGGGAATCTAGGCTTTGCTTTAAGAAATACAGAAGAGGACAACGTGTATGGGGCTATGGACAATGAGATTTGCCATAAAATGTTATTGATACTTGGTTATGGGTATATAGGGGTTAATAAAGCTATCCTATCTAATTTCAAATATGTTTACATTTTTCCTTAACAAAAATTTAAATATGCACCTAAAATTCCACCCAGAGAGATGTTGATTCAGTAGGTCTGTGGTCTAGGCATCCGCAAGTGTGAAAGCTCCCAGGGATATTTTGGTTCACACCAATATCTGAGAGCCAGGTAACTAACTCATCTGGACAAAAACGAGGTGAGTTCTAGCCCTCGCAATTCAAGCTCTCACATCTTAAAACACAGGAGATGAAGTACTAGGGAACAGAATCAATGCATACCGCTCTAGTCCAATTCATTCCCTGTTAAATCAAGTTATTATGTGAACAACAGCTGAAATTCAAGTAACTGACCCAAAGAAATTAAAGAAACTGCTCCAACTTCTGAATTCTGCTGTTCCTGCCCTTTATTTCCCTTCCCAAGAGCCCCAACCAGGGCCCACTAAAAGAATCTAAGAAGAAGTCATTATCCCTCACTAATTCTCAACCACTGTCTCTATTAGAGCAATCTCAAACAGTAAGACTTTAGAAAATAATGACAGGACTATCAAGAGTAGAGGTGGTGGAGCTGGAGATGGTAATAATAAATCACAAAGAAAGATTACTAACCAATCTGTCCCTGCTATATCCAACCATTAAGTCTTTCCTTTCTCCAATCTCCATCATAAAAAGTTATGAGTTGCATATGATGGAAAAATCTGAATTTCCTGAGACTTACGATGTCTTCAAAGGAACCACTGATACACATGTGGACGAGGCACCTACTGCAGGGCTTGAGGCCAGAAGTGACCGATTTCTGAATCACGCAGCTTCGTTTTCTTCTCTCTTAGCTCCTGCCCCTCCTAAAGTCAAAGCCAAAGCAAAAGCCTTGAAGGCCAAAAAGGCAGTGCCAAAAGGCGCCCACAGCCACAAGAAAAAAAAGATCCACACATCACCCATGTTCCAGCAGCCCAAGACACTACGCCTCGGACGGCAGCCCAAATATCCTCGGAAGAGCGCCCCCAGGAGAAACAAGCTTGACCACTATGCCATCATCAAGTTCCCCTGACCACTGAGTCAACCATGAAGAAGATAGAAGACAACACACTGGTGTTCATTGTGGATGTCAAGGCCAACAGTCACCAGATCAAACAAGCTGTGAAGAAACTCTACGACATTGATGTGGCCAAAGTCAACACCCTGATCAGACCTGACGGAGAGAAGGCATATGTTCAACTGGCTCCTGACTGATGCTTTGGATGCTGCCAACAAAATTGGTATCATCTGAACTGAATCCAGCTGGCTAATTCCAAATATATGTTTTTTCACCATAAAAAAAAAAGTCATGAGCTGACAAGAGTATTTCATATCTGATGTTAATGAATTTTAGAATACTGTGTTCCCAGGAACTGAGGAAACACATGCATTCCAAAATATCATTTGCTACGATACTACTTCCTATTATTTTTCACTGTAACACATACTATGTTTCCTCTGCAGCTACATTATTCACGACTTTGTCATTTGTTCTTATCAGTCGATTACGGAATGAGATTGTTTAAGTATTTATTTGAAAAGCAGAGAGACTGAGAGAGAGGAAGAGTCACAGAGAGACAGAGACCTTCATCTGTTGGTTCACTCCCCAGATAGCCCCAAAAGCCAGGTCTGGGCCAAGCCGAAGCCAGCAGCAAGTAACTCCAGCCAGGTCTTCCTCAGTGGTGGCTGGTGCCCAAGTAAATGGGCTATCTTTTGCTGCCTTCCCTGGCACATTAGCAGGAGACTAGATTGGAAGCAGAATAGCCAGGACTCAAACCAGGACTTGCATATGGGGTGCTGGCATCACAATCTGAGAGAACCTGCTGCACCACAACACGGGCACCAGGAATGAAGTTTTTGAAATTATACTCCTAGTACTCTAGGGCTGCCCATAAAACATAACTCAGAGGTTAGTGAAGACCCTGTTAGAGCAACTATTAAGCTTCTTTCATTGCCTCAGGTTTCATAACCTCCCTTAAACCAGCTATAGCCTGAATATCTGTGCTGCCCTCAAAAGTCTTATGTTGAAATTAACCAATGTTAGAGATGAGGCACTGGGAGGCAATTAGGTCAATGAAGGCTCCTGTTCATGAAAGTGAGTAGTGCCCTTAAAAAATAAAATAAAGGCTTAAGGGAGCTTTTCCACCCCTCCTGTTATTTAAGAACCGAGACAGACAGAAGGTGCTACCTTTGAGGAGAACATACGCCTTCACCAGAGTTCCTGGTCCCTGGATTCCTCCTGGCCCAGCCCTGGCTGTTACAGGCATTTGTGGAGTGCCAGCAGCATCCTGGTTTCGACCCCCCAGTCTCTCCCTCTCTTCCTGTCACTCTGACTTTCAAATAAATAAATAAATCTTTTTTAAAAATTTAAAAATAGAAGTATTATTGGAGTATTTGGCAAAGCAGTTAAGAGATAGGTTAAGATTCCACATCAAATGCCTTGGTTTCATTCTTGGCTCCAGGTCCAATTCCAGCTTCTTACCAATAGTCCCTGGGAGGCAGCAGGTAACAGCACAAGTGCCTAGGTCCCTGCCACCACGTAAGAGACCCAGAGTGGGTTTCCAGCTTCCCTCTTCAACTGGGCCCAGCCCAAGACATGGCAGACATTGTGAGTATGAATCAGCACGTGAGAACTCTTTGTCTTTGTCTTTTTCTTTCTCTAATAAGTAAATAAAATTTGTCAAAGTGTTACAGGGAAAACAGTGACAAAGACAAAGACCTCAGTTCTGCCTCAAGTAGAAGAATTTCCTTCCCACCAAGGCAGTGAGCAAAGCAAGATTTATTTAAGCTAGAAACTTCCTGCCTAGAAGCCAGGAGCAGGGCTCCGAGAGAGGAAGACCCAAGATACCAGATCATAAACAGAGCAGCAGGGACTGGAACCAGCACTACAACATGGAATGCGGACATCTGAAGAAGCCACTAAACCAGCTATGCCAAATGTGGGACCCAGCCTTTTGACCTTGAAAGGATGGAGAATCATAGTACTAGTCTATACGAGGCAACCTACAAACAGAAAATGTACCATGGAATTACATAACCAGCAATATCCAGTCAATAAAAAAGTAGCTTCTAGTTACAGTTTATCTCATTTCTCAATTACTTGGTTTAACATCCATGTTCGAAGAAGACAAAGTAACATGTTTCCTCAAAAATAAAAAACAGGATACACACACACAAAAAAAAACCAGGTTGGTAATATGCCTTGTAAATGAGTTTAACTATTCAATTAAATGTCAGTATTTAAATACCTATATGATGAACAGGCTCCTTCACCAGTATTCTAGCCAACAAACTACACTAAACCATTTCACATAAGAAACATTTCCACATAGGTGAACCATCACATATTGTAAAACTTCACAAACTAAACCTGTTTTCTGAGGTGGCCACAAAACATTTATTTGAAAATAATAAGGTCTTGGGCATTTTCCAGCAGTATTGTGGACAAAGCATCTAGAGAATGTGTTGACTATAACACAAATTGGCACGTTAAACAACAAGCTTCATCTGACTTAGCAAAACGTTCTAACTTTTGGAACAGAAAATGACCTGCTGGACATTTCAAAGGTGCCAGAACTCACCCTACCAGTATAAATCTGTCTTTTAACAAGTCTAGAAAAGAGTTAAATCCAACAAAATTACATAAGAATCACACATGATCTTTTTAAAACTATATAAAAATGGAAATACGACATGTTGGCTAAAGCAAAAAGTTTACTTACTGCTCTTCCTGGAAGCAAACTTAAGAGAAACATTTCAAATTTAGTTTATAAAGCTTAAGTATAAAAGCAAACTTTTTACTTACATTCTTTATACAAGGACCACTATCCGCCACTAGACTGTCAGGAAAAGCAATACAAAGGTTTTTAAGTTTGGATTACGAAAACTCCCTTACTAGAAAGCCAGATTTTCTACTTTAAAGAGAAATCTGTCAGAAAAGAATCACCATGGAACTTTCATTTCTTATAAAAATGTATATAACTGGGGCCATGTTGTGGTATAGCAGGTAAAGCAACCACCTGCAAAGCCAGCATCCCAAATGGGTACTAGTTCATGTCCTGGCTGCTCTACTTCCAATCCAGTTCCCTGCTAGTGTGCCTGGGAAAGCAGCTAAGGATGGCCCAGGTACTTGGGCCCCTGCACCTGCGTGGGATAGCCAGAGAAGACTCCTGGCTTCAGACTGGCCTAGCTCCAGCCACCGCGGCCATTAAGGGAGTGAACCAGCAGATAGAGGACACCTCCCTCCCTCCTTCCCTCCCTCTCTCTCTCTCTGTCTCTCTCTCTCTCTCACTTTGTCCCTCCCTCTAACTCTGCCTTCCAAATAAATAAATCTATGTAACTAACTTTTAGACAAAGATAAACATAAAATACTGAAGATTAAAAAGGCAAATGTCGATGATCCTTACCAGTGGACTCCCAACCTAATCTAACTCTGAAACAACTGAAATCAACAGATAACGTCAAATTCTAGATTAACATTTTGAGCAAATGCCCACTGCTTATACAGCAATATAAAAGGAAAAATTCTGCTACTAAGATTTCCATCAGAGATAATGATTGGAAACTCTAAATGAACATTTATAGAATAAAAGGTCAAGTTCTATCAAACTTTTCAAATGTTTGATCTACCCTAAACAACTTTAAGATTCTCTTTTTGTATTTCCAATAGTATAACATTCTACTATCACACTAGAATAATGTATACCACAAGGATTAAAATTATCAAAACCAATAAATGAGTGGCTACCGTCTCAAGGAAGGACCTCCACAAATCTTGTGGATGTAGAAATACTGTATTTTATTTCTCAAAGTTTAACTGTCATATGTATCTTGACAACCGAGGATGATCTTACACAAGGGCTTCAGGAAAAGCTCTGGTATCAATTCAGAACAAGAAAGAACAGAAATGAGAATGTGTTAAGAGAAATAAAAATTTCTTTCTTATCCTCATGACAAATTTGAGGAAAGGGACAGGGCAGAGACTTCTAAGTCTCCTTAGGAACGCCAGAAAGAGCTAAAGAAAAATCATGGGGCCGGCGCTGTGGCTCAGTAGGTTGGTCCTCTGCCTGCGATACCGGCATCCCATATGGGCGCCAGTTCGAGTCCCAGCTGCTCCTCATCCAATCCAGCTTTCTGCTATGGCCTGGAAAAGCAGCAGAAAATGGCCCAAGTGCTTGGGCCCCTGCACCCGCATGGGAGACCCAGAGGAAGCTCCTGCCTTTCAGATTGGCACAGCCACGGCCATTGCAGCCATTTGGTGAGTGAACCAACAGAAGGAAGGGCTTTCTCTCTGTCTCTCCCTCTCACTGTAACTCTACCTGTCAAATAAATAAATAAAAATCTTTAAAAAAAAATGTAATTTACACAAACCTAAAGAGGAAAAAAAACAAGCAGCTTCTCAGAACAGGACCCTAAAAGGAAAGGACAGAGGATTCTTAGAAATCTATTAGAACTTCTTTCTGTTCAGCTCTAATCATTAACTTTTTAAAGTGACACATTGTGAACTACCTGTAATAAGCTGTACAACTAAAAGTGCAAATTGATAAGGACTTACTTAGCAAGTCTTTTTCCCTTTAAGCCTCAGAGGAAAACTGAGTTCGCTTTACATTAGTATAAAAAGCCACATAGACCATACATGTTACTAAAAATTGTATATACCAAAATTACAAGAGAAACTTATTTCTTCAAATTTACCTAGTTGAAGGAATTTTAAATACAGTCTATCAACATA